CTCTTTGTAGGAGAAATCTGGGCAGTTTCAAATGAGTTTCTCATCACTGAAAAGGGGACTCATTATCACTTTTGTATACTCTCTCCGTTCCATTCTTCATCAGGCTTTGTAAGCACAAAAAGTGCTAAAGCAGTTTTTCTCCCCCCCTTTTTTTTGTTGCCCGATTCTCCTCACTTGTAAATCAGTCAGGAGTTACTTATGTGATGAGCGAGTGGAGAAAGTGCTGAAAGCAAATGTCTTAACACCACAACATGTTGGGACTGTGACAGCTTTTTGAGCAAAAATAGATCACATTGTTGTTGTGCCAGACACACAAACACAAACACCAACTTTCACTATCTGCTTAAATACTTTTCACTCATCAACCACTCACTGAATCAGAAAACAAAAACCCTCCTAAATGAGAAACAAAATGACGGCGCCACTACAACTGGAGGGTTTTATTTGTGAGGGATGTGAGTGAGCTGATCTCAGACGGGGAGATGTGAGGATGGGAAGCGGTGTACCAGGAGCAGAGGAGGTGAGAGTAAACATCAAAGAAAGGTGAAGAAAACAGACAACACCTCAAACAGAAGGCGGTTTAGATCAGCCGCTTGACAGCTGATCACAACACGCAGCTTTAGGGCACACGTGTTGTCCTGTTCATCTTCTCTCTTTTCATCCCGCCTTCAACAAGTCCGCCTTCATTCCCTCACCTCCAAAGAAAAGTATCAACAGAAACCTTCGCTCCACACTTTGACTACGAGTCAGATTCTGCTCATTCAGAATCATCTTTCACACATCCGCACCTTCAGCTTCTCACCACACCATCGCTGTGGTGACATGACATTTAACCTACTCTGCAACTTTCACTAAGACTTAGAGAAGAGGTAACATCTGCAGCTGACGTTAAAGCTGCCTTAAAAAAAACAAAAAAAAAACAAATGAAGAGCTAACATTGGGGCCTTCTACGGGCTCAAACACATCGTAGTCTTTCTATACTGTAGTTTGCTGTTGCAGAGATATACTGTACATGAATTTGTTCCACCATCATGCAGTCTTTCAGTATGCTGGTCAAACTTAACCTGGAGTACATTAGATAGTTGTGAATATACTTATTGCACTAGACAAATCTGCCAAGACTTGCAGCATCCCCTCTGCTGATCACTTGTTATCTTGAATGGGCTCTATGCATTGATCCAGGTGTGGCTGACTATTCATCTAATGATCAGTCACACCTGGATTAATCAGTTTGTCCAATAATGTGAGAAAGGAAATAAAGGAGCTGCCTGAAGTTCAGGAAGCTGTGGAGCTGTGCATTGAGTCCATTGAGAAGTTTTCTCCACCAAGCCAGCCCTGCCAAGTATCCTGCATGCAACTTAGGAACTGCCTCTCCAGGATCCTGGTGTTGTTGCAACAGTGAGAGTTATAGTTTTAAACACTTCAGTGTACAATGTTTGCACTGCTGTTTTGGTCATATATAGGATTCAGCTCGTGTTTTTAAAAGCCAATAAAGGTGCAAAGAGTGTGTTTTATACATAAGATTTTTACAGTGTTACAGTTTACGACAGTTTTAATTCAATATAATGAAAAAAAAAACAAATAAACAAACAAGTAAACAAACAAACAATCAAACAAATAAATAAATGAATAAATAAATAAGCTCTTCTCACCTGGGGATAATGCTTTTATTTCAGATAAAGTGGGCGGAAGCTCATGTTTGCAAAGCATAGGACAAGACATGGAACATTTTAGTAGCTATAATATGGCTTAAATTTTGGGTGGCAAAGAGTTCAGATCAGATCAGACAGAGTGACAAATCCACAGAAGAACTACAGAGAATGAGAAAGACAGACAGGAGTATGACATATTTACACAGTCAGCATGTCACTCACCCTGTTTCCACACAAACAGACCTGTCATCACCTAAACCATCCTCTCAGTCCCTCACCCAGCATGTCAGTGAGGTGTATCCACAAAAACACAGGACAAAAAATGATGATAATAATAATAAGAAGAAACACAAAGAAACCCCTTTAAGCTATAGAATTAGACAGGAAAAAATAATATATATAATATATATATATATATATATATATATATATATATATATATATATATATATACATATGTATATAATTTTTTTTTCATATTACATATTATACTAAATAGTTTGACACAGGTCCTATCTTCATGGGCTGTCCCAGTGTAACTTTTCATTTTCATCCTGACAGTAAAGCAAAACTTCGGTCGGTTTAAGGAAAGACAAAAAGGAAAAGACACATTACCAATGCATTATTTACTTCATAATGTTGTATTCTAAAAGTATGCTTTATTTCAAAATGGCATATATGTGACTTACATATCATCACCCTATTAAAAATAATGGCCAAAGTCATGTTTTGACGAACATGAGTTTTTGGCCTAAATCATCTCTTGATAGTGCTCTGGTAAAATTGCCTAAATCCTTAGTTAGAAGGATCATGCCATGATCCTTTTACATCCAGTTACATATATCATAAGTAACAGGCTTTTGTGAAGCATTTTTACAGCTGGCATCAGTCTGATTATCTGCAACTGTATGCTAAGCTCTAAAACTGACACAAGGTGCAAATTACATGTGACATGTCAACTGAGCAGTCCTGGAGTTTGATGAAGTGAAATGTGTTAAAAGTAGAGTGGTGTTGTTGCAGGAAGCTGGAGGACACTGCAGAGCTTTACTGAGCTGAAATGGACAGAGCAGCATGTGATAGAAAAAAAAACGCGTTACATTTTTACCCTGGACATATCATGATTAATAACTAGACTCTGACAGCCCTGGTACTGTCAGTGGTAAAAGTAAATTCATCTTTAACATCATTTATATATATTTAACGTCTCTGTATCACTTCAGCTGCTTCTTTTTTTCCTCTGCTGTTTTTTTATAGAACCATAAAAGCTGCCTGTCTTCCTCCAGCTTTATCCTCTTTATCTCTTTACTTGCCTTAAACTGATGGAAAAAGGCATGCTTTTAAGTGATGGTGGTAAAGTGATGTGAAAATGTGATTTCCAGGCATTAGCAGTACATGTGTATAGTCAGAGTAGCCGCAGGGAAAGGAGAAGCTGTTGCTTTAGCGGCTGATTTCTTCCTGCTTCGGGCGAAGAGAGGGGAGGCCCTAGGGGCACGAAGCCTCGGGAAACGTCTGGATATCTCTTAAGAGGCTGTTTCCCCTCAGCTGTAATGGAGTGTGGAACATATAAAACTGTGTATTTGTAGCATAAAGTTCACTTCATGATCACTTAACTGTGCGGATCAGGAGAACGAGAGACAGAGGGAGAGAAGAGACACTTCACAGCCTGTGCTGGTAGAACTGCTCTTAGGGTGTTTTATGGCATCAGATATCAGTAATAAAAGAAGGTTGTAACTACATAAAAGTACAGAAATATGATGATAATATTGGTAATAGTAATATTTAATGTTAGTTTATCTTAGCCACATTTCTACCCATTTCTACCCAGGATATAATAAATCTCAGCTATTAATAACTCAAAAAAGCATACCAGGTTTCAAAAAAATGATATATCTCCAGAATGATCAGTGATTACTCTTTTTTTTACTGACTTAATGCATTAAGAAACTTACACTTAAAGCTGATGCCAACAAGTAAATCTATAGGCTTTGAATATGCAGCAGGGCAGTCCAAGACTGTTTTTGTTTCACTTTGAATTGCGCTCAACAACCAAGTCTTCAACGACATGAGTGAAACACTTTACAGCATTTTTCAAGTTACAGTAGAGAGGAAGAACTTCCTTTAACAGGCAGAAATCTCGAGCAGAACCAGACTGATGTTAGACAGTCATCTGCTGAGACTGAGCTGGGTTTAGAGAGACTGATAGAGGGAGATGGAGAAAGAGAGAGAGATGGACAGAGGAGAGACTGATGCTGCTCATAGTTGATGCAGCTGTAAAGCAGAGAGGTCCTCAGCAGCTATATGTCTGCAGCAGTGAATCAGAGGAACCTACAGGATGATGGAGCTTAGGGACTCCCTGAAAAGAATGAGTATTCGTGACTCTAATGGGACATGATGATTCATAGTTAAAGACATTGACAGAAAGAGGATGGAGAAGGAGGGAAAGGTGCTGCATGGACCAGTACCCCCAGCAGTCTTAACCTATATAACAACAGACTTACTGGTTTGTTTGGGAGGCTTCTCAATTTCAGAGACCTTACCTCTGTAGTCTTTTTAAAATGAGCCGACCTTGCTGATGTCCTAAAGTCACTAATTTCCTGGTCATTTTTGGAAATGTAAATGCTGACCTACAAAGTCTGAGGGTAAGAAAACACCGGGGGTAGTCAGGATTAAGCAAAGTGTATCTATTACGGCTCCACACAGGATTACAGAGTGTTTGTGTTGGCAGAGCTAGCATCACAAGACTTGAGTCCTCTTCACAGGTCAAAGTTCACTTGTTCAGGTGTTGCTTAGCTTGAGTGGTTATTTGCCAGTTCAACCAAACTCAGCCCATTTTGTGTGTGTATGTGATGAAATGGGTCAAATAGGAGAGGTCTGCTGATCTCTGAATAACATCCTAGATTTTCATTTTTCTTACAGAACTGAATTTCCTTCTTTAAGCAATGATTTTGATTAATAATAAAAGATGTACCAAGTTTTTTTGAATTACCAGAACATTTTTTTTTGCTTAATTCAACACAGTGAACCTTCAGCATGATAGAAAGTGGAGCTCAAACCTCTGCAGCCATCACCAGTGAAACCTATTTTACCAAACAGTAAATTGCCCAAATGTTAGGGTGAATATCTTCTTTATATTAGCCTGTAGTGACGGTTAAAGTGTTCGACTGGTCAGGTTGCTTTGTTTGCAGCATTAAAGCCTATTAGCATCATTAAATACATTAAAGTGTTGATAATCTTCTGCACATAGCAGACATTTTTCTCATGTTTATGCTCTTTCTGTGGCCCCCGCCCAAGTCAATTTATTTAAAGACACTGAGCAACTCCAATTACGTCGGCCCATCCGTTGATATGCTATTTTCCTTTCTTGGCCAGCCATCTTTGATTCGTGGGCCGGTCCGCCTCCTCGTCCACACAGCTGCCTCCTCGCTTGTTGTTCTTGGCACCACATCCAAAAGTCCTCCAGCCTTTCTGCGGTCCCCTCAAAAAGAGGAGCAACATCAAAAGGCTTTCACAGGGCTCTGTCGACATGAACATCACTGAACCTTCCTTGTCTCTCAGACGGCGAGTGGAGTCTGTGTGTGTGAGGGGGGCGAGGGGGGGCTCAGACCCTCTTTGGCTCTTTGTGTGTAAACGCAGCAGAGGAGGCTGAGGGCCCTCTGCTTTTCCAACATGAAGAGCCCCAAGGTTAAAGCTCAGCCACTGATCGCCTTCCAGCAGCCACGTTCCTCTTCTCTTTCCCTGTTTCATGTCTCATTCTGTGCCATGCCGTGCCACGCCACGCTTTCTTTGCCACTCCATGTCTCGTTGTCAGCTTTACACAAACAGGTGCTGTTTGTCTGACCTCCACTCTTTGAAGAGATTATATATTTAGCAGCCTCCTCCCCTCTTTTTGATAAACACTGATCCTCTTTCTTTCTTTCTTTCTTTCTTTCTTTCTTTCTTTCTTTCTTTCTTTCTTTCTTTCTTTCTTTCTTTCTTTCAAGTCTGTGCATTCTTTTTGTTGTTGTTGTGTGTTTTCCATCAAAGTACACCCCCAATGGATGACAAAGATTGCTTGGGTATGCTCTGATGCAAACTGGATGAAAATTACTATGATAGTTAAGAAATTTAAGGTCAGTAAAATGAAACTTTGTGTTACAGTTAGAATTTCTTATCCCCTTTTTTGAGGTGGAGTCTCGGTGGGATCAGGGCCCAACACTGTCATTATAGTCCCACTCTAATCCTTTTTTTTTCTACTTAAAGTGTTTTCTGTGGTCGTTAAATTGTGATTTAAAGTTTTTAGCCAAAATCAAGTCACCTGTGTCAATTTTCAAGGGCCTGTCTTCTGCAGAGCTCTAGTAGCTCATTAGCAATTTACCTCTGAGTCGTGGGTGAAGACAACGCTGCTCTGCACACTCCTTTTCACGCTAGCTTACAGCCTAACATTGCCAGTGTAGTAGAAGTAGTAGGTAACATAGGAGCTTTTCAGCTCTTGGACAAATGTCTTTAGGGGACATGATGAAAGCTAATATCATAATTAGCTTTCTTAAAAGCATTGCAATCTGCTAACGCATACGCTTGCTCCGCTTGCTCTATTTCTCAGAGTCTGGCAGAGAACGCCGTTAATTCTGCTGTTGACATTGCAAAAAAATCATTTAGATCCGCAAAAGACGTTGGATATAAACGATTTCTGCTGACTTTGCAAAGTCAACTGCAGAATTAACGGCGTTCTGAATGAATGGCGCTTTGAAAAGTCCCTCAGCATGTGTTAGAAGTCACCAACTGCACATGGACCAATCAGGGGCTGCCTTTTCCTGTTGTCCGGGGAACAGTGGAAACACAGTCACTGATTGGCCCGGTTATTTTCTGATCGCTAATACACGCTCCCAATGGACTGAAGTCCAGACTGTTGTGGGAGGGAACGGCAAGTGATTCACGCAACAGGATGGCCCAGCCAGGCAAGGGCTCTGGGGGCAGAGCTTGGATTTTCTATGTAGGAAATCTCACTGAATCTGAGCCTGCTGTTCAGGTCGGCCAGAGGTTCATAGCGATTTGAATGCAAAAATACCCTTATTTTTTGAATGACATGTCCTGTAGCATCAGAAAAATGCCAACTGAAGATTAAAAAACCCCAGAAAAACACGATTTTAATCAGAGTGGGTCTTTAAACATGCTCTTTTATTCTTCTTTTATTCTTTTTCTGGTTTTTGGATTGAACTACTAAAATTGCAGAAAGTTTGTCAAACAGTGATAATTTTCAGTGAAGCAGGAGCTCTGAATGCTGCGTGGTGCAGACTGCAGCTGTATGTGAGCCGCTGGTATCCTCTAATTCAGAAAAGTCTGTCTGTTTCAATTCTCCTCTTCCTCTTCTCTGAATGAAGGAGCCAAACTGAACGGGAATCCCTTTTATCAATACTTCTACTGTTGACAAGAACCTGATATGACTTCATGTCACAGGAACTGAACTATCCCTTTAAATATGAGTGAGCTCAGCTGGGTGGCCGTAGTTGACTTGACCAGGCCTCAACCAGAGGGTAGGTTGATTTCTGCCCCTGTAGTCCAGATATTCTAGGGTCCAAGGGTCCTTGGGCAAGACGCTCTTTATGCAACATCCTCTTCTAGCAAGGTGTGAAGCTGGGCTAGTCATTGGATTTTCATACTGAGAGAGGAGAGCCTGGAGATGGGCAGGAGGATGAAGGTGTGTGTGTCTGTGTCTGACCACACATTGTGTTTTTAAAGGATTAGAGATTTTTAAGTTTTAAATTAGATTTAAGTTTCTTACAAGCGCATGCTGTAGATGTCAAATCATAGGTAATAGCTTTTGATAATCATGATATCAATGTCAATCAAAATAATAATGATTATGATTGGCAGCATAATAAAGCAGCCCTCGCAGTGTATAAATATGTTTTGATTGGATGAATATGAGATAATGTAAAAGCTTTGAGCTGTTGGATTAAAAAAGTGCTAATTAAACATATTTAAGCAAAAAAACATGTTTTTAAAAGATGTTTGGAAAGATGGACAAAGTCAACTCTGGAGGTCGGAGGAGTTGCCATGGCAACACAGGAGCGTGGGCCAGGACACTGGGGCTTCATGCATTCACGTGCAAACTTGAATTATGTTAGATTTACTTGGCTACTGATGGCACATGTTGCCAAGTGTTTGTTTATGCTGGAATAATGTTGGGTCTGAAAAGTTTAACTTGGTCTTTGTCTCAACATTTTTTTTTTAAATTTGTGCGATACAAATAATACAAAAGACACGAACATCATTGTGTTACCATCCACCCTGCGATGTTTGCTTTAACCTTAAGTATGTGTTTTTTGTCTCTTGACTTTGACATTAATAAGTTAGACAAGAAGGTAACAGACATTAGTGTATGTTGTGTGCATCCGTGTGGCATTCAAGAGAGTTGTAATGTGCATGTGAGTGTGATACCAAAGAGCTGCAATGAAGCTTCAGGATACAGAATCACATCCCAAACATCCTGCGATGATGATGCATAAGCTTGGCCTGATAAAAGCACGTTATTAAAGATGTTGGCTTCTGGTCAGTGACAGATCATGTGACGAACTGTGGCCTGAAAATGCTCCAGTCAAGCTGTGCCCTGAAATAAGTAGTTCTCATGAGAAATGTTAAAACAATAACCATCATGTCTCATATTTGCTATGAGATTTTTGGTGCATCTAGTATTCCCTGCAGAAACACAGGTGATGTGTTGGGTGCTGTTAATCAGGACAGTGGGCTGATCACTGCATATGTCTGAAACTGGGTGTAAATGTGTCTCGCTGTTGTGTTGTGGCCCTGCAACGCATCCTGTGTGATAATAGACCTGGCAGAAAACAGGGCAAGAAGGGGGGCAGGGGGATTTTGTGAGGAGGGGTGGGGGCATCTATGGGACATGGTGCGTGTGTGGCATATACGTATTCACTTGGGTGTATATACATGTTTATATGCAAACGTGCGCTTGTGTGTGTGTGTGTGTGTGTGTGTGTGTGTGTGTGCGACTGGGCTCGTCGGTTACCAGGGAAATGGATGTGTTGGCCTCATCAGAGAGTCTCCAGCTGGTGGAGAGGCTTCGGAAGCGGCGCCTTGGCAGCCGCCCGGTCAGGGGGGAGTTTGCATCTGTGCTGCTTTGGCACTGGACGGCATTGTGGTTTGGTGGATGGAGGTGGATAGAGTGTGAGTGCACGTGTGTGTGTGTGGGTTTGTGTATGTATGGTTTGTGTGTTAAAGGTTAGGGGTGCTGAGGTCCATACCTTCTCACCTCTTCACAGCCTCTCACCTTACCAAGCACACATGCAAAAACACATCTACAGAGCAAAATCCTACACTTCACAACCCGCCTAACAAGTGCAGTACATGCAATGACTTTTATGGCCACTTGGGGGCAGCAGAAATAGGAAATGGACTTTGTTTATAAAGCACTTCTCTAATCTTCTGACCACTTAAAGCTCTTTTACATCACATGTCACATTCACCCATTAACACCATGTTCACTTACTGATAGCAGAGGCTGATATGTATAGAGCCCATCATTTTGGACTAATTCCACCCACACACCCCTGTTCGCAGCCAGCAGGGGCAGTAGGGGTCAAGTGTCTTACCCAAGGACACTTTGGCATGTGGACAGCCCTGGGATCGAACCCCTAACTTTCCTATCATCATCATATACATCATCATCATCATCATCACTACAAATGTCCTCCTAAAGGCATGGTTGATGATTGGAGAAATTGGTAATTATTATGAACCTCGTTTATATGGCGATCATGGTCCTATGGTGCGATCTCCACAAAGTGAAGAGAAAAAAGTATGGACAAAATCCGTTCACCCTAGCAGGTGCAGGGCTGCAAATGGGAACCATCCATCCCGGACAGCTCCTATTGGTCAATCTCCTGCTCCGCCTTTCCACTCAATCACCTCGCTGTATTCGACACACCCCTCTCTCATGTTTCCGACCTGTCCCCTCCCACTCTCCCGGCCCTACTCGGAGCCCAGAGCAGCTAAATGTAGCGTAGCAGCTTAGCTACAGGAGCTGTGGGCAGAGTTGAAGAGGCAATGTGACCGAGCGAGGAATCTAACTTGATAAACATCGAGACATCCTTCAAGCGGTGGAGAAAGCTTCGCCAGGATTTGGGCCTGAAATCAGACACTGTATAGTATAGTTATAGTATAGTTTTTATTGAACAGGTCATTTTTGCCTTTCAGCGTGACACATGTTACATAAATAACTCTTATTAGTCGCTGCAATGTCAACATGGTAGCTGTCCAGGCAGCTGCAGATGGTGCTCGCTAGCAGAGGTGCATTTACTGCCGCAGTCACGAGCAACCAACATGGTGAATCCTATTTGAAGCTAGCGTAAGATCTTCTGCTGGCCGGCTTCTTGCTCTGCCAGAGGGGGTGTGTCGTGGGGAGGGCGATACAGGTTCGGGGGTAGTTACCGTGGAGCACAGAGGGGAGAGGTTTGTGCTTGGGGGGTGGGACGCTTTTTTCAAACTTTTCTGCTTTTAAAAATAGACCTGCACAGAAAAAAGAGGACTTGAGCACAAACCAGTCTTACAGTAACTACATGTCAACAGGGAGAAAATTTTTTATTATTTGTGTATTAAATTTCTGAATTTTGTCCATAGGGCCATAGGGATTGCTGGAGGAGGGGGGATTTATAAACAGTCACCAGAGAGTGCTGTTCTCGTGGTGGCTTCATCCAGTGAGGCGGTAGATGGCGTCCATTTATATACAGTCTATGGTCAGTCTGCGGCTG